AATAAATAAATAAATAAATAAATAAATAAATAAATAAAGTAGAATCCTAGCAAAATAATAAAATAAAATAAAATAACAAGTAAAACCATGGCTGATTTTACCTATTCCTGGCTCTGTTTCAACATGACCCCTTGTAATCTGGCCTTCTCTTCCCAGAACTCCTCCGGCACTTGGGTCCCAGAAATCGCTGCTGCTGCCTACTTAATAGAGCTACGGCCTTTTTCACTTCTCAGTCTTCCACCTTCTGTGCAGGAACTATTTTGATTATTCTGTCCATCCTAAATCTCTTCCTTCTCTGACTTTCATGGCAACATACTAGCTTGACGCACTGAGGTGTAAGTAATGAAGGTCATATTTATGTGGTGGGATTGGGGGTGATTTGTGTTTTTCTAGACTGTGTGACTTTTTTATAAAAGCATAAGCCATTTTTCTTTTGTTTTTGTTTTAAGTTTATTCATTTGTTTTTGAGACAGAGAACACAGTGGGGGAAGGGCAGAGAGAGAAAGGGAGGGAGGGAGATAGAGAATCCGAAGCAGGGTCCAGACTCCTAGCTGTCAGTGCAGAGCCCGACATGGAGCCCAAACCCCTGAACTACAAGATCATGAGCTGAGTGGAAGTCGGATGCTTAGTCGACTGAGGCACCCTGGCACCCCATAAGCATAGGCCATTTTTCTAAACACAAAGTCAACACTACTTTAAAATAAAATAGGGAATAAAAAGGGGTTGTAGTTAGAATTAACACTTGCTTTTCAGATTCAATTTATATTTTACTGAAATGGAATTACTAAAAGCTGGAGGTATTTCTAATTCTGAGCAAACAGGCTAACATGTATGTGTTTGGCTACAATTCTGGAGTCACTGCCGGCAATGGATGAAAAGTAAACCTCATCTCCTCCCCCACCTCCTTTTGAGAAATAAACCATTCCTCTGTCCTCAAAATAGCTTCCCACTTCACAGTTATAAAAACTTATCCTTTTCAAATCCATTCACTCCTAGGATTAGTCTCTGAAAAGAAACTGGGACATGGGCTGGGGTAGGATGTTGACTGTGAACCTCACCTTCATTGGTGGATATTTATGATAAGGAGCTGCCCCGGTGGCCAGTTCAATTGCTGTGATCCCGAAACTCCAGATGTCCGCTTTGAAATCATAGCCTCGGACCTGTAAAGAACATAAAGATGTACATGATTACTTTTGCCACCCTAAAAGCACTTTTATTTTATTTCTCTTTTTAGTAATCTCTACACCCAGCCTGGGGCTTGAACCCACAACCTCGAGATCAAGTGTTACATGCTCTTATGACTGAGCCAGCCAGGTGCCCCTAAAAGTACTTTTAAAAGGAAGCTTCTAGGGGCGCCTGGGTGGCTCAGTTGGTTAAGTGGCCGACTTCGGCTCAGGTCATGATTTTGCGGTCCATGAGTTCAAGCCCCGTGTCGGGCTCTGTGCTGACAGCTCAGAGCCTGGAGCCTGTTTCAGATTCTGTGTCTCCCTCTCTCTGACCCTCCCCTGTTCACGCTCTATCTCTGTCTCAAAAATAAACGTTAAAAAAAAAAAATTAAAAAAAAATAAAAGAAGCTTCTAATATGTATCAAGAACCACGAAAGTGTTCATAAGCTTTTTTTAATTAAAAATTTTTTTATACTTATTTATTTTTGAGAGAGAGAAACAGCACGAGCAGGAGAGGGGCAGAAAGAGAGGGAGACAAGAATCTGAAGCAGGTTCCAGGCTCTAAACTGTCAGCACAGAGCCTGACGTGGGACTCGAACCCACAAACCGTGAGATCAAGACCCGAGCTGAAGTTGGACACCCAACCAACTGAGCCACCCAGGGGCCAAGTTTTAAACCATTAGAGTAATCTAGAGTAAGCAAAAGCTAACTATACTTGGTAACAGAAGAAGAAAAAGCAATCCCAATAAATGTTCCCCAGAAATGGTGAAATTGTTAAGTATGGGATACTCAGTTAAAAGAAATGCTACATAGTCAACTAAAAGCAATGTAAATGAATTCTATATGAAAATATGGAAAATCACTTGTGATAAAGCATTTACAAAGAAAAAAGAATACAAAATTCTTCACAAGTTTTGATACTATTATAAAAGCACATAAACTATGTTTTTAAAAAATTTAAAAAAAAAACATTTTTTAATGTTTATTTTTGAGAGAGACAAAGTGTGAGTGGGGGAGGGGCAGAGAGAGAGGGAGACACAGAATCTGAAGCGGGCTCTAGGTTCTGAGCTGTCAGCACAGAGCCCGATGCGGGGCTTGAACCCATGAACCGCAAGATCATAACCTGAGCCGAATCTGACTGAGCCACCCAGGGGCCCCTCCATTTGGTTTTTTTAGGAAAAGAACTAGAACAAAATTGTTAGGCAGTAGTGGTAAGTCCTGTTTTCCAAATTTTCTATGTTATGGTATTGTTTTATCCTGTTACGGAACTATTTTAACCTGTTCCATAACTTATAATGAAAAAAGATACAAGGGGTGTGAATATTTTCAAAGTTCTTAATGTGACCACGTTGCCGAATTTCTTTCCTTTTATACTGGCATGAGCACATTATAAAATTAAATATTTTCATTTTCCATCCTAAGCAACACAGGAGAAGAAATAGGTTGGTGGGGGTGGGGTAGGGTGGGGTGTGGTTTGAGACCTGGAATTAAGGCTCCATATGATGTGCTGCCTTGACATCCAGTAAGGAGGTGGGCCTCTAATGAGACAAGTGCAAGTTCCCCTCTCCAGTCTGTTCCCGAAGGTAAAGTCCCCTAGCCCAACAACCTTGCTTATTACCTGGACAAGCAAAGTTCCTGCTTAGCCTTGAGTAGCAGGCTTCAGCCCCCGACCAGCCCTCAGAGTTAACTATATGAGCCAATCACACCCTCACAAGGAAACCGAGGAGCACCTCACTCTCTCGATACTACAAAGCCTGTTTCCCACAGCAACTGTTTATTCACTCTCTTCCTGAATACAGCCCCATGTGACATGCAGTGTCCTCCTCCCTGAACCTATGTGTATATGCGACTAATAGACTGCTGTCGGTCTCACAGGCCCAGAACCAGGTGTTGTGTGTTCAGCATCAGCATTACCCTAGGGTGGGAATGCTTCCCTCACCAACAGGGTGAATACAGGCATTATAATGGAGTGAAAGTGAATTCGGTTCTACAATACCAACTTTGATGTATTTCTAGGACATTTAGGTAAAACATCTATAGGGAGCTGGAAACCTCCACCTAGAGGCTTAGGAAATAAGACTGGCATGATATACTTTAGAAAATATAATAGGTGAGGGCGCCTGGCTGGCTCAGTCGGTTAAGCGTCCGACTTCAGCTCAGGTCATGGTCTCACGGTCGGTGAGTTTGAGCCCCGAGTCGGGCTCTCTGCTGTCAGTGCAGAGCCTGGAGCCTGTTTCAGATTCTGTGTCTCCCTCACTCTCTGCCCCTCCCCCGGTCACGCTCTGTCTCTATCAAAAACTGAATAAACATTAAAGAAAGAAAGAAAGAAAGAAAGAAAGAAAGAAAGAAGGAAGGAAGGAAGGAAGGAAGGAAGGAAGGAAGGAAGGAAAGAAAGAAAGAAAGAAAGAAAGAAAGAAAGAAAGAAAGAAAGAAAGAAAGAAAGAAGATATAATAGGTGGGAAGTGGAGATGAGACACATTAGTGAGAGAAGAATTCGAGAACAAGGTCCTGGGACATAGAAGGAAAGACAGAAAAAAAGTCAGAGAAACGGCCTGACAGGTAGGGGAAGAATGAGGAAAACTACACTAGGGAAGCTGAAGATGTAAATCAAGGTGGAAAGGTCCAAGTGCTTCAAATGACAGGACAACAAACAAGTAAAACAAGGAATAAGGAACGAGCATAATTTGAGAATAGCAGAGTATCCGTAAGGTGGTTAAATGAGTGACATCTGACTGTAGTTGTTTCAGAGCAAACAGAAATGGAGTTGTGGGCAAAATCAGTCCTTCAAAAACCAGAGCAGTGAAACTACATGTACAAAGATTAGGTCATTTAATTTGTAAAGCGGAAACTACTATTGAACCAGTCTTTATTATATTATTGCTTAGGTTGTGTGTGGTAGAAATCCTGAGTTTTATATATCATTTACAAAGATCTACAGGCTTTTTGCTGTTGTTGTTAACGGTGGACGGATCCTTAACCAAGGAACAGAGACACGGATCTCCCAAAGTTAGTGTAGCACATGTACCCCCTACTGTTTTTTTTTTTCTTAATGTTTATTTATTTTTGAGAGAGACAGAGACAGAGTGTGAGCAGGGGAGGGGTGTGAGTAGGGGAGGGGCAGAGAGAGGGAGACACAGAATCCGAATCAGGCTCCAGGCTCTGACTGTCAGCACAGAGCCCGACGCGGGGCTTGAACTCACGGACCGCGAGATCATGACCCGAGCCCAAGTTGGACGTCCAACCAACTGAGCCACCCAAGCACCCCTGTATCCCCTACTTTTTAAAGGTTCCCGTTAAGCCACCTGGCTTCTATGGAAGACCTACAGTAGTAATCGCTTCTCGGCCTTTTGGCTAAGATCAAGTGTGGAAGACCTACAGTAGTGCCTGTTTACTGAAAGAAATCCGGAGGATTTCTACTTTTGTGAAAAAGGCAAAAAGCGAAAACAGCATCGCGCGTTTGCTCCTATAGCCAGCCGTCACGGAGGCAGTGCGCAGAGCAGCGAGACTGGTGCCGCCCAGCTCCTTCCCCAGTGTGTGCACATCTGCTCTTTATCTCCATTTATTTTGTGCATCCAATAGCAAGATGTGTTCTCTGCTTTCAGAAAAGCCTAAAAGAGGTCATTTCTTAGGTCTGGGAACGCTAAACAATTTTTCCAGATAAATTAATGGTGATCGCTTCTTCGCTTTGCACCATTTCAGCTTATCAAAGGTTTCACAGGAACAAACTGCTTTGCCTTAGTGGGGGAACCTGTATACCAAACAGAAGCAAACATTACTCCGTTTTTTCCATTCTGTAACAAAACCCTAAGCCATTTTTAAAAGACAAAAGACAAAGAGTACCTGTTCCATAACTTCAGGTGCCATCCAGCAAGGAGTTCCAACAAAGGTCTTTCTCACTTTATTTCGGGTAATATCACCACCAGTTGCTAAAAAAGCACTAACCCCAAAGTCTGAAATAGATATAACAGCAAGGTATTAGAAATATGGCAACTAACACAAGTAAATAGGAAAATAATATAGCTGTAGTCCTATCCACAAACAACACATTTTCTCTTCTTTCCAGAGGTTCTTGACTAAATTAAGACACAGTTTAACACAGACCCATCCCAACAGATTTTCGTCCTTGCTCCAATCTATTCTATTAGCGTAGTCCTTCCAGACTAAAAGTCTATACCCATTAACAGTAACCCCTCCTTCTCCTCCCCAGCCACGGGCAACCGTCATTCTAACATTCGGCTTCAATGATTTTGAGTACTCTTAAGGACCTCAAATAAATAAAAGCATACGCTATTTGTCTTTTGTAGCTGGGTTATTTTACTTAGTATAATGTCCTCAATGCCCATCCATTTTGGAGCATATGACAAAATTTCCTTACTTTATAGGCTGAATAATATCCCACTGTGTGTATATGTCATATTTTGTGTATTCTTTCAATCGCTGAGGGACATTTGGGCTGCTTCCACATTTTGGCCATGGTGAATAATGATGCTATGAAAATAGGTGTCCTAATAATTATGTGAGTCCCTGCTCTCAGTTCTTTGGGATTCTAAATGCAGAAGTGGACCTGCTGGATTACACAGTACAGTAATTTTATGTATGTATAAATGTATGTACGCAGAACAAGGAGGGGGGAAGGGCAGAGAGAGAGGGAGAGAAAGAGACAGAACCCTAATCCCAAGCAGGCTCCACGCTGAGTGTGGAGCCCGACACGCTCAATCTAAGGACTGTGAGATTATGACCTGAGCCAGAATCAAGAGCCAGACACCGAACAGACTGAGCCACCCAGGCATGCCGGTAATTTTGTTTTTCATTCTTTGAGGAACTGCCATATTATTTTCCACAGCAGCTGTACCATTTTCCATTGCCACCAACAGTGGCCAAAGGTTCCAATGTCTCCACATCATCTGCATTTTCTAGTCTTGGGTTGGTTTTTTTTTTTTTCTTTTTTTTTTTAAATTATTTTGAGAGAGAGAGAGATTAAGAGAGGTAGTGCACACGAGCAGGGGAGGGGTGGAGAGAGAAGCCCAAGCCCAAGTAGGCTCTGTGCTGTCAGCACAGAGCCCAATGTGGGGCTCCATCTCACGACCACGAGATCATGACCTCTGGAGCCAAATTCCAGAGTTGGATGAAATCAGGAGTCCACACTTAACCAACTGGATCACCCAGGCACCCTGGGGGTTTTTTGATAGCAGCCATCCTGATGGCTGCAAGACGGGATCTCACTGTAGCTCAAATTTATATTTCCCTAATGATTAGTGATGTTGAACATCCTTATGTGCTTATCAGCAATCTGCATATCTTCTTTGGAGAAATGTCTACTTAAGCCCATATTCTTAAAGACTCAATTTATTTAAACTAAAAACAAAAATAGTTCACCATTTTTCCTATCCTGTATTCCTGCCTCTGGCAACCACCAATCTGTTCTATCTATGAGTTTGTGTCTAATATAAAAAAATTTTTTTAATGTTTATTCATTTTTGAGAGACAGAGCACGAGCAGGGGAGAGGCAAACAGAGAAGGAGACACAGAATCTGAAGCAGGCTCCAGGCTCTGAGCTGTCAGCATGGAGCTGGATGCGGGGCTTGAATTCACGAACCCTGAGATCATGACCTGTGGTGAAGTCAGACACTTAACCGACTGAGCCACCCAGGTGCCCCATTGTGTCTAATACATATATTAGGTTTCATTTCATTATTTGTCTGACTTATTACACATACGACAAAACCCTCAAGGTCTATCCATATTATCATAAATGGCAAAATTTCATTATTTTCTATGACTGAATAGTATTCCATTGTATGTATACACCACAATCTATCCATTCCAAGACCTTTATCAATGAGATTATCATCTATGTTTTCTTCTAGGAGCTTTACCATTTCAGGTCTTACATTCCAGTCTTTTTTTTTTTTTTTTTTAACACTTATTTTTTGAGAGACAGAGACAGCGTGAGCGGGGGAGGGGTAGAGAGAGAGGAAGGCATAGAATCCAAAGCAGGCTCCAGGCTCTGAGCTGTCAGCACAGAGCCCGATGTGGGGCTGGAACTCACGAATGCGAGATCGTGACCCAAGCTGAAGTCAGACGCTTAACCAACTGAGCCACCTAGGCGCTCCACACTCAAGTCTTTGATACACTTTGAGTTAATTTTTATCTACGGTGTGAGACAGTGATCCAATCCAGCTTCACTTTTTTGCATGTGGCTGTCCAATTTTCTCAATACCACTTAATTAAGATACTGTCTTTTCCCCATTGTATATTATTCGCTATTGTAAATAATGCTGCAATAAACATGTATATTTCTTTTTGAGTTAGTGTTTTTATTTTCCTCAGATAAATACCCAGAGGTGGAATTACTAGATCATACAAAAGTTCTACCATAAATTTTCTGAGGAACCTCAATACTGTTTTCCATCGGCTGCACCAATTCACAGTCCCACCAATAGTGCATAAGGGTTCTGGTTTTTCCACATCCTTGCCAGGGCTTGTTATTTCCAGTCTTTTAGATAATAACCATTCTAACAGGTATGAGACATCTCGATGTGTGTGAGGTTCTGATTTGCATTTCCCTAATAACTCACTTATCTGTTGGCAATTGTATGTCTTCTTCGGGGAAAATGTATGTTCAGATCTTCTACCCATTTCTTAATCAGATTGTTCATTTTTGATATTGAATTGTAGGAGTTCTTTATATATTTTGGATTTTCGTCCCTTACGAGATATATGACTTGTAAATATTTTCTCCCATTCAGTAGGATGCCTTTTCATTTTGTTGATATCCTTTGCTGTATAGATTTTTTTTTTTATTTAAAAAGAATCGTTTTTAACGATTACTTGTTTCTGAAGGAGAGAGAATGTGAGCGGGGAAAGGGCTGAGAGGGAGACACAGAATCTGAAGCAGGTTCCAGGCTCTGAGCTGTCAGCACAGAGCCTGACGCAGAGCTCGAACTCACAATCTGTGAGATCAAGACCTGAGTGAAGTTGGTCGCCCAGTCGACTGAGCCACCCAGGCATTCCTGTACAGATTATTTAAAAAGATTTTTTTAAATGTTTATTTATTTTAGAGAGAGAGGGAGGGAAGGAGGGAAGGAGGGACAAAGAGGGGGAGTACAGGGGATCTGAAGCAGGGTGTGCTGACTGCAGAGAGACCGATGCAGGACTTGAACCCATGAACCATGAGATCATGACCTGAGCTGAAAGTTGGGATGCTTAACTGACTGAGCCACCATGCGCCCTGCTGTGCACATTTTTTGTTTGATATTCCTATTTGTTCATTTTTTGCCTTAGCTGCTTTTGCTTTTGGCATCAGATTCAAAAAATCACCAAGACCGTATCAAGAGGCTTGCCATCCATGCTTTCTCTTAGGTATTTTATGGTTTCATGCCTTACATTCATTCTTTAGTTCAAATGGAGTTAATTTTTGCATATGATGTAAGATGGTGTTCTAGCTTCATTCTTTTACTTGTGGCTGTTTAATATTCTCAAGACCATTTATTGAAGAGACTATCCTTTCCCCCTTGTACACTCTTAACTCCTTTATGATAAAATTAATTGCCTATGTATGTATGGGTTTATTTCTGGGCTTTCTTTTCTGTACCATTAATCTGTATGTCTGTTTTTATGCAAATATCATACTGTTTTAATTAATGTAGCTTCATTCTATACTTTGAAATCAGGGAGCATGATGACTCCAGCTTTGTTCTTTCTTAAGACTGCTTTGGCTATTCGAAGTCTTTTATGATTCCATACAAATTTAGGACTGTTTGCTCTACTTCTCTGAAAAATGACATTATAATTTCGGTAGGGGTTACAGTGAATCTGTATATTATTTTGGGTAGTACATTTTAACAATATGATTTCTTCCAATTCATAGGCAAAGAATATCTATGTCTTCAGCTTCTTTCTTTAATGTCTTGTAATTCTCCATATACTGACTGGTCTTTCACCTCTTTGATTAAATTTATTACTAGATATTTTACTTATTTTGATGCAACTGTAAGTAGGATTGTTTTAATTTCTCTGATAGTTTATTACTAACATACAGAAATGCAACAGATTTGCATGTACTGATTTTGTATTTTGCAACTTTACTAAATTTGAATATTGTAACAGTTTTCTGATGGGAGTCTTTAGGGTTTTCTATGTTCAATATCAAGCCATCTGCAAATGGTGACAGTTTTACTTCTTGCTTTCTAATTTGGATGACTAATTTCTTTATCTTGTCTAACTGCTCTGGCTAGTACTTCCAACTACATTGAATAAAAATGGTGAGAGTAGGCATCTTTTCCTTGTTTGTGATCTTATAGGAAACGCTTTCAGCTTTTTGCTACTGAGTATAACATTAGCTGTGGGCTTGTCATATATGGCCTTTATTATGTTGAGGTATGCTCCCCTATACTGGCTTCATTGAGAATTATAAATGGATGTTGAATTTTGCCAAATGTTTTTTCCACACGTTGACCTGATACAATTTTTATCCTACATTTGGTTAATGTGGTATATCACATTGACTAATTTGCAGATGTTGAACGAACCTTGCATTTCTGGAATAAGACCCACTTCATCGAGGTGTATGGTCCTTTTAATAATGTATTGCTGAACTGAGTATACTGATATTTGTTGAAGATTTTTGCATCTATGCCCACTAGAATATTAGCCTATAATTTTCTTGTGGCATTCTTGTCTGGTTTTGGTATCAGGGTAATGCTGCCTTCATAAAGTATGTTTAATGTTTCCCACCTCTTCTATGTTTTTTGAAAGAGTTTGAGAAGGATTGGTATTAATTCTTCTTTCAAAGTCTGGTAGAATTCACTAGTGAAGCTGTCTGGTACTGGAGGGTTCGGAGGTTGTTGATGACTGATTCAACCATTTTACTAGCAACTGTTCTGTTTAGGTTTTCTATTTCATGATTCAGTCTTGGTAGGTTGTATGTTTCCCAAAACATATCCATTTC